AAATGTGGTGTACAACCTCAGTCTCACAGACCTCACGGAACAACGCAGACTGGTCTGGTATTCCCCAGCCATTGACGTTCAAATGTGCGTCGTCAAAGGAAAAGATGAGGTAAATTTATACATTACACACCTATAAAATATGTGTAGCTTAAACCGATTTTTTTTTAGATCTATATTTTTATTCTTTCTATATATTTTAAGCTTTATACAACACTTTCTACTTTTACATTTGAACCGAGTAGGTTAGTACGAATAAACTAAAATTGAAATTTTTAAAAACCCCCGAAATAAAATAGGTAAGGCAGTACCTACTTAGCCACCCATATGTTTTTTAAAACATGTGTCAATTATGGCATTTCTGCAAAATGCAAGACGATACCTGCGTACTGGATTTCTTTAAAAAAAAAAGAAATAATAAGGGTGTCAACCGAGCACGCAGATAGATACTTTGGCCCATAGACATCTACATCTATCTTCGATTAAGAATCAAAACTCAGATGCGTTATTACCACTGGGGACTAAGATGGAATGTTTAATTTCCAGTAAAAGGGATCTCCAGTTCTCTACACTCACCATACGAAACACAGCAGCATTAAATTGCCACTTAACGCTTTGTATATGCCACCAATAATCAATAGCGAAAGAAATTTTCGATATTTAACAAAACACACCCCATGCAGTTCAAGTTTACACTCGATGAAAAGCTTTAATAATTTCAGTTAAATCCTTCAAGTTGTTGAAACATATTCCGCCTGGGGGTCCATGTAATGAAAAGATCGTACCCTTCTTTCCAAACTATTGCGTTGTAGCTGGAGTGCATCCATTACGGTATTCCAGTTGAAGGGCAATAGAGCCAACGAACGCAATAAGGTACGAGTATGACAACGTTTCTGTGGCCTTCACTAATTAATGATGGTAAGTGTCCAACATGCCAACTCGTGGGCTAGCTTATATTTTTTCTCCATACAAATAAATAAAATTGAATTGTCTGTTCCTAATGTCAAAATAGCAGCTTTTTACTAAATGTATATAAAAGAATATGCCATCAAAAACATAACTTGTAAAAATAAAACAAGTCTCACACCTCAGTTCTTCTAACGTAAAAGGTTGTGAGATTCATGTAATACAAAGTCGGTTAATTTATTCAGTCCCTACTTAAGGGAATGAAAACGCAATGTATCTCACAAGTACCTAATATATATCATATTAAATTTTGAGATTGTTTAGTGCGATTGCCAAGTCACTAACTTCTACTTCTTAAATACCAACAACATACCTATCTACACCTATTATTCCGTTAGATTATACATATACTGGTGCACTGATTCATTCACTGCAAGTATAACTTTGCAATCGTATATATTTATATGGGATTACAAAGTTATTTATACAGTTAATGTATCTAGAAAACTGGACTGAAATTGGAAAATATTTTAGTTTTTCCTTAATTTATACACTAAACACTAATTGTATTCCAAATCAGAAGCTTTTACGTTTGCTAGAAGTGCCTTAGACTCTAAGGCTTAGAGTTTTGATGATCGGTGAGTCAGTCAGTAAGTGACAAAATTAAGAAATTTTGGCTTGTTATTATTCTTAAACTACTGCTTCAAATTAAATGAAATCTGAAATATACCATTGTAATATAATGCCAGCTTGGTTACTGAAAATTCAGGCTTCTAGTTTTATTCGCAACGAAGTTATAGGGGGATCGAAAATGGCCTGAACTGCCTCGAGATAAGGATGCGGATGGTACGGCCGTTCCGCTTTTTTGCTCGACTTCGCGGGGTCACTGACGTGCCCCCAGTGACGGTACTTATAACAAATAAAAAACAATTTTTAAAATGTTTGTCTGTCTGTTTGTTCAGGCTAATCTCCGAAATGACTGGACTGTTTTTGACGAGACTTTCACTGGCAGAGAGCTGATTTTATAAAGAGTAACTTAGGCCACACTTATTTTAGAAAAAAAAATTAGAGTTACGCGCAAAATAATTAAAACCAATGAAATCCAATCGTAATAAACTCCACGCGAACGAATTCGCGGTGAACATACAGTTTACAATAACAGTAAAATATATACTGTTATTGTAATATAGACGTAGAAGATTTAGTTCGATTAATAGGAATCAAGACCTCACAGAATGTTATTAGTTCAAATAAGAAGATACAGAACATAGCTCGTGTAACCCTTACGAGGCCTAAATAGAGTAATCATAACGAAACATTTGGAAGTTACTGTTGCCAAGTAAGAAATATTCGCCGCAACATATTCTCACCCCATCACACTTTAATCTAAGGAAAATAACGTATCAAGGGCGTGTAATACAAAAATCGTAATACTTTTGAAATATACTTCGATAATGATTTCCAGAAATAGAGCAGTGAAGTCATACCGGAATATTACGGGCGCTTAATGTCGCCTAGCGCCATCTTGTGGCGGTTAATTGAACTCGGAGCAAACGGGACGCGTATTAAATTAGGTATTTTAGGTATAGCCAAATGACTTTGTGCTGAATTCTGGGAAATTAAAACTCCAACACAGTTACGTCAGGCGATATACCTAAATTATTGAAGCAAAGTGTCGCATTTATAAAACGAAAAAGAAATTGTTACTGAAGAAAAAGTAAAAAAGGTATATTAAAAAATATATTCACTTACTATTCTGAATTCGTTTGATACACTCTACACTAATGAACTCCGTTTATTTCAAAAGAAAGCTTTGTAAACATAAAAGCCTCAATTTTTGAAATGATTTCTAAAGCTCTTATTTTTTCTTAAACGTATTATCTGAAAGCTCCTTTTTCATTATCTTGTTCCAAAAAGCATTCCAACGATTAACTTTTAAATAAACCTTAGAGCAGCATAGCTAGTATAATTGTATTATTTGGTGTAGTGATTTTGGAGCGTCTGGCAGGTGACCTTTATTGTCTGATAGGTTTAAAAATAAATAGTTTGACAGAGTACCAGCGTAAAATAGCAGCGTAATGCTGCTGTGTTTCGTATGGTGAGTGAAGAGAACCGGAGCTACTTTTTACCGGGAACGAAAGACCTGTTGAAGTTGGCTAGCCACTTACCATCATACAATTAACATCATCATTTACACATCATCAGTACAATTACTCATCATCAACTTAGAGCCAAGCTGTTATATTAGAACAAAGACCACGTCTCATACTATAGTAGCTTATCTTTATTTCGTATTGAGGTAGAGAAAACCCTTTTACTGGAACGAGCCATCTCAGTCACGTGAAACCATCTGCATTTTGATTTTTAATGGAGGATAGATGTAGAGTCAGCCAGCACCACTTACCATCTCTTCTCGTTTTCACCTATTCTAAAAAAAAAGGTGCATCGAATTTCGTTTGTTAGTTCAGTTTTATTAAAAAAAAAGTTGAAATATGCTACTATCTATAACTTTATCTATACCCTTATACACATAAATAACGATGTATGTTTGTAATATCGAAAGCTAGTCGCTCAAATGGTTGTTGCTCGCTATAAATTTCACAGTACGCAAGCAAACCGGGTTCGATCCCCGCCGACACCAAAGAAATTGTTAATTGCAATTTTAAGCGCTGATTTACTACGCACTTGGCGGTGAAGGAAAACATCGTGAGGAAACCTGCATGTCAGAGAAATAAGCAAAAAATATTTCGAAGACATGTGAAGTTCGCCAACAAGTTGGGGCAGCGTGGCGTACAATATCTTGCCCTAAAACCCTCTTAGAAATGAGCGGAGGCCTGTGCCCCAGGAGTGGGACGTACTCGTATATAGGCTGTAACCTGTAACTCTAACTTTAACTTTAATATCGAAATAACTCTGTTCTATAATATGCATGTTATTAAGAAATAAATAAATATTTTTAAAACTTTTGCCTGACTGCCCGTGTGGGCTAATCTTTGAAATAGCTGGATCGTTTGTAATGAAACTTTACGAACAGATAAATAGCAATGTCAAAACAGTTCTAAGCTATTTTTAACCAAAAAACTTTTTTTTTTATTGTTAAAATATAGTATTTTTGGCTACCTTAAATCTAAATAACAGCATATCAATAGAAGGGGAAACGGTTGAGTAAGTAGATGAGTTTGTATATTTGGGTTGTGTATTCAGCAGGGATGGCAGATATGATAAGGATATAGAACGACGAGTGAACGTAGGAAATAAAGTAAATAGAGCCCTACACTCTATTGTGAAAAGTCAAAATGTGTCAAAAAAAGGCACGTATGGTAATTCACAATGCTGTATTAGTCCTTACTTTTACGTATGGTAGTGATAGTTGTGTGTGGCAGAGGAGGTACGAGAGTAGAATAAATGCAGTAGAAATGCGGTCGCTAAGGAGTATGTTAGGACTGAATCTGAGTGATAGGGTGAGAAACTTCTTTAGTTTAGTAGTGAGGTACTTCTTTAGTTCTTTTAAAACTATAATTTAATTATTAATTTTCATATAATATACCTGTACCTAATACTGCTTTACAGAAGCGATGATATTCAATTTCTACGTATTAGTGTACCTGTTCATTATTCAGTTACTAATCGCAATATCGTTAATTAGTTATATTTTCAAACGTTGTTTTAAAATAAAATAATTACTGAAATTAATATCGCTCCACGCGTGCGATGCTTTTAAATGAAATGCTAATTTAATTTGCTTTTCATGAAAATTAATTTAAGCGCAAAAAAGTGCAAGCTTTTTTAATTTAAACCTTAACTAGCTGTTTCATCGCAGTTTGTTTAAAATATATAGTAGCGAAAATTACGAATATTTTAAGTATTATACATATTTATTGACGAAACGCCTCGTTGTCAATAAATAGGGATGTGTTTTACGAGAAGGATATTTCGATAAAAAAGTTATTGATATATTTTCTCATTTAAGAGATTTTTTAACCAAATCCATAGCTTTTGTAACCATAGCTTTTAAGATATCATTGCAGGTCACAATCTTGCTCATATTTTTGAAATGATTAGAGAAGCCTTGTATTCCTCATGGAAAAAACTTTCTCAACAAGGTGCGTGGGGTTCGAAACGGGTTACTTGAGATCTGTGTAATTTAAAAAATATTATAATTTATAAAAACTGTAAATTTTGTAGACGATATTTTATATTGTCACT